GTAGAATTATTTTCTAACCGAATTCCGAATTCTTCGTTTCATTGTATCGTTAAAACCTTCAGTTTCACGGAGAAACAGACAGCATGGAAAAAGGTAGTCATAGATCCGATAAAATGTTGGAATTTAGTGGATGATGATGGACAGCTGATACGTTCATTTTCGACCTTCGAGCATTCGCTTTCCACTTTCGTCGCGATTCGCGGTCGCTATTTTCGATATTAACAGCGGCCGATCGGAAGTCATTTAGAAAGCGCCGCGGCTTTTAGAGAGAAAAAAAGAATACGAAGCCAGTGATTTTGTATTCGAGTAGCGTATCAACTAAGCGTCCGGTTGATATAACGATTCCCATGTATCGAGTAGAAAAGCGATCGGAAACGCAGTTACAACAGATATACAGAAATTTCTATGAAACGCGCGACACGCTTCACGTTTCATCGCGGCGCTTCCTCTTCGTCGCTTCCCGTGATTTTTAACGAGCACTCGTTACCGAACACTTTCTAACTTATTGACGTATCCGAGCATTATCTTCACGGACCACGACACAACCATGGAAACGGATGGTCGGTCGTGTTTCTTATCGACGTAAAATGAGTGTGCACGAATTCGAAACGCCGGACCATGATTCTTTAAATACGGGCCCCGCAGCCAAACTTTCCACGTTGTTGTCCCCTGGCAGCGTAAAAATTCGGTAATTTGCAAATACACTGTAAAATAATACATTTGTAAATATTCATTTGGGAAGATCGTTTCCTCCTGTTTGATATTCCGAGGTTCTAGGGTACTTGGCTTTCTCAAATAGTTTTCTCCATCTGAATCATTTTTTATGCTTCCTATATTATTTGATTAAGATGGAATTAATCGTTATTGGGTGTCTTTTAAGATTCTATAATTTTAACACTAGAACTATCGATAGTTAAATATATAGATAAATGTGATCTTTAAAAAATACATAATAATAGAATATTTTTATATTTTTCAATTTATTATTTTCTTACTGAAGGAACATTTTTGATATTATTAGTCCATCTGCGACCATGATCGACCTAAATGAGGGTTGACGCATTTATAAAATTGTAGAACCAGTCATTTTGACTGCTGTGGTATTTCTATTGTTGACAATCTAGCGATCCAGTGATCGGTCCGGAATTTTCCTGATAAGTCATATTAAACGATACGCGATAAAAATTTGAAAAACGTGTGGCAAGTTGTAGAAAACGAGGAAACTGGTTAATTGGGGTTCGATAAACAGATTGCAGGACCCTATTACATTTTGACTGGTATTGGTATAAGTAGCCTTGATACAATGTTCTTTTGAACTATGAACACATAAAAAACAAAATAAAATTCATTATACTATTCTTTTAATAATCGTTACGAAAGTCATTACATCATTACGGGAAGAAGATGTAACATGAAGTAAGAATTTTAAAATAAAATTGTAAAACCAGTCGATTTGACTGGTGTGGTAGTTCTAGTGTTAAGAGATCTTATTTACAGATATCTATTTCGAGAAGCCTCCAGTCGATTTTTATTTTTAAGTTAGACAGTTATTAGATCGACAAAGAGTTGCAATTTGCCACGTATGTTGATTATATTTGAAGAAAATACAGGGTAACCCTGATGCAACGATCTTTACCATTAAATTGTTATACAGGGTGGTTGGTAACTGGTGGTACAAGTGGAAAGGGGGTGATTCTACGCGAAAAAGGAAGTCGAAAATATAGAATAAAAATTCTTTTTAATTTTTTTAAAAATCTACAGTAAGATCCGTTATAACGAGACGTGATAAAGTGCACGCGTACCGAGCGAAAATTCAAAGTCGATTTTCTCGAAAACAAAGCCTCAAACGAAAAATTTTTACTCTATATTTTCGACTTCTTTTTTCGCGCAAAATCACCCCCTTTCCGCCTGTACCACCAGTTACCAACCATCCCGTATATATTTGGAAAACCAATAATCGAATCATCATTACCATGTGTCATTGTTAATGGCTGCTAAATGACTCGCGTTGTTCTATTCACCCGAAACAGAAAAATCAAAGATAATTTCAACTTACATAAATGTACTTGCTATCCATACTAGAATAAAACAAATGTGTTTCATCATATTAAAAAAAAAAAAAAAAGAAAGAAATAGCAATGACGAGGAACGACGATATAAAAGCTTCAGCTTGTTCAGACGATAGAAAAATGCATACTATCACAGATATTGAAGTAACTTTACTACAGACGATAGAAAGACATCAATTTTATAGCGTAACGTGATACAACGCGCGACCTGTTCCAAACGCACAATTTAGAAGAAATCTGTTGACTCATTATTAAGATATCATAGCAGCGGGTATTGCGCGCAAACTTACGCCAAGAGGCACGAGAGCAAATGGAATATGCATGCATAAGGCGGTGATGTCTCGTGCAAGCTGTTTCAGATTCCAATATTCCTCTCGAGTGTTGCTACAGTTACGGCCAGACGCGGTACAAGCCTGAATTCTCGAAAATTTCGAACTTCTTGACGCGTTCTAGCTCGTGGTCCGGTTTTTTAATTTCACGTTTCTGGCAAAGGAAAGAGAAAAAAATATACTTGACCGGTGTTTTCGTGGCCGGGATATTCCTCGTGAATAATTCATCGCGGAATTTCGTTCTGCTTCGGAACAATCTCGCGATATATACATACAGCAAGGAGGGAGGGGGGGGGGGCACGG